ACCGAGCCACTCCAAGCACCTACCGACCAGCCACTCCAAGCACCTAATGATCCAGCCACTCCAGGCACCTTCCAACCAAGCCACTCCAACAACCTCTACCCACCGAGCCACTCGAACAACCTCTACCTACACCTACACATCGAGCCACTCCAAGCACCTAGTACGCACCGAGCCGCGAATCTCCCCCCACCTTATTTCCCCACCGATCATCTACTAACCAATGGTGGTAAAAGTGACGATCTACCAACCAATCAATAAATGACACATTTTTGACATTTTTCGGAAAGGTGGCCCCACCTTTTTCCCCCACCAATCATCTAGCCAATGGTGGGGAAAATGACGATCTACCAACCAATCAAGGGATGAGAGTTTTTTGTCATTTTTTGAAAAAAAAAATTGGGGGGAGATTTGCGAATCTCCCCCCACCTGATTTCCCCACCAATTATCTAGCCAATGGTGGAGAAAGTGACAATCTACCAACCAATCAAGGGATAAAACCTTTTTTGACATTTTTCGAAAAAAAAAAGGTGGGGAGAGATTCGCGAATCTCCCCCCACCTTATTTCCCAACGAATCATCTACTAGCCAATGGTGGGGAAAGTGACGATCTACCAACCAATCAATAAATGACACCTTTTTGACATTTTTCGGAAAAAAAAAGGTGGGCGGAGATTCGCGAATCTCCCCCAACCTTTTTTCCCCACCAATCAACTAGCCAATGGTGGGGAAAGTGACGACATACCAACCAATCAACAAATAACACATTGTTGAAATTTTTTGAAAAACAAAATGGGAGGAGATTCGCAAATCTCCCCCCTCTCCCCCCACCTGATTTCCCCACCAATCATCTACCCTATGGTGGGGAAAGTGACGATCTACCAACCAATCATTAAATGACACAGTTTTTGACATTTTTCAGAAAAAACAAGATGGGGGGAGATTCGCGAATGTCCCCCCACCTTTTTTCCCCACCAATCATCTAGCCAATGGTGGGGAAAGTGACGATCTTCCAACCACTCAATAAATGGCACATTTTTGACATTTTTCGAAAAATAAAAAGGTGGCGGGAGATTCGCAAATCTCCCCCCACCTTTTTCCCCCACCAAACATCTAGCCAATGGTGCCGAAAGTGACGATCTACCAACCAATCAATAAATGACACATTTTTGATATTTTTCGAAAAAAAAAGGTCAAGGGAGATTCGCGAATCTCCCCTCACCTGAATTCCCCACCAATCATCTACCCTATGGTGGGAAAAATGACGATCTACCAACCAATCATTAAATGACAAAATTTTGACATTTTTCAGATTAAAAAAAAGGTCGGGGGAGATTCGCGAATGTCCCCCCACCTTTTTCCCCCACGAATCATCTAGCCAAAAGTGGGGAAAGTGACGATCTTCCAACCACTCAATAAATGGCACATTTTTGACATTTTTCAAAAAAAAAAAGGTGGGCGAATCTCCCCCCACCTGATTTCCCCACCAATCATCTACCCTATGGTGGGGAAAGTGACGATCTACAAACCAATCATTAAATGACATATTTTTGACATTTTTCGGAAAAAAAAAGGTGGGGGGAGATTCGCGAATCTCC